CCCCAAAACCCCAAAACCCCAAAACCCCTGGGGAATGAGTGGTGGTTGAATGGCTTTGAATAAGTATGCTGGAAAAGAGAGTGCTAGGAAGAGGTTGGATGTGGAGGGGTTAATGGAATTTTGGAATTTTATAGGAAAATGTTAGGTTTTGATGGATTTTAGTAATTTTAGAGGTTTAAATGGGTGTAATTTTTTAATATTTTTAATTTTTTGGTAACTCATTAGAAAAGTTGTAAAAAATTTTGGATGAAATTCTCTCCTTCAACTTTCTTCAGGGAAGCCTTTAAAGAAACATAATTATGTAACTTAGTTTTTATCACATTGGCACATTCAGGCATAAAGTTGAGGTTAATAATCCTTCCGAAATTTAATTTAGGATGGGGTATAGGAACCTTGTTTTTCCGAAATTTTTGCCTTATAATACAAAAGATGGTTTATTCTCAAATTACTAAGTATAGAAATCATAAGCTTTCTAAATGAACTGAATGCTCTCTTGATATTTTCTCAAAGGACGAACTTTGAGTTGCCTAGTCTTTAGAATATCTTGTCACTTAATTAGCATACTTCTAAAATTTCCGAACTGTTTGAACGATTGGGGATACTTGAAATCTCCCAATTTATCAGGTAATGGCTCACTCTTTTATCATACTTAAGCCCTACAAAATTTGCTTCTAAATTTTTTTAGAAGAGTCTATATCATAAAAATTCTGAATTATTGTTAAAACCAGGAGTATTCTTGAAAGTTCCAAATAGGGAATTAGAAAATCAGTTCCAAAAAAGTTCTCTAATATTTGGAGGAAATAGGCCCAAATAACTTCAAAATAATTTAGAAGCTTAAGAGCTATAAAAATCTTTATCCAAGCAATCATTAGAAATACTAATGGTCTGCCTGTTTTAATGCATCCAAGATGGACAACAGAATGAAGAATAGGCTTTAATTAAGATCCCGCATATAACTAAGCAATGGGGCTATTCGAATAGCAGTAATTTTAAGGCCAATAATTTTACCGTACTAAAGAGTTATGTGCTTGTTGGTGATATCAAAGACTTCTCCATAATTCAGCTCAGGATTAACTGGAAAAATGGTTCATGAATCAGCATAATTTTATTAATTCTAACTTGGCTTAAAATCGATATTAAGTATGAAGGAGAAATTTTAAGTGAAAGGTATAGTATAAATATTTCAAATAACTTTTATTTCTTGAAATTTAACTAAAATGGAGTCTAAAGCCTGAAACATATCTTCACTACGATGGTAGTAATTTCGGTTTACCTTAGAAAGCTATTTTAGTTGACAAACCTTATTGATTCAGCAGTGTATAAAATTTAGAAATAAATTATTAACCTCTTCAGCCTATTAATTTATTGTGAAATGAGTTTATCTCTTATTTTCTTTACAAATTAATATAAGCAAGTCAGATCCAATTATTTTAACAAGTTGTAAACCCTTAATTTTTTTCAGTGTTAAGTTCTCGAAAATTGAATAATCACAAATTTATACTATTCCCTTATTGTTATTATTTTATTATAAAAAAATATTTCATCACAAAATAAAACTCCAATGCACAAATTCAGACTTCTAACCTATTATCTAATTCATCCAACCAAACTATCCAAACCTCAAATTATCCCCAAACCTGACCTCCCAACTTTCCCACACACAAATTCCCTCACCTCATCCCTTCAAACTCCCCTACCCACCCTCTAACCCCACCTAAAACCCCCTTCCCCCTTCCCCAAAACCCTATCCTTGCCTCCTCACTCTCCTAAATTCCCCAACTCTCTCCTCTCACCCGCCACTGCTAGTCTATATCCTCCTCTCTTCACACGGCTATTATCATAAACCACAAATCAACTAGCAATGGGTAATGCCGAAGTGAGATCAGAGAGAGATTTAGGATAAGGACAGGCTGGGGTCTTTGGGAGGTAGTCAAGATTTGGGTGAGGGATTTTGGAGAAGAATTGATAAGTGTGTTATTAATTAGAGATTAAAGCATTTAGATTCAGAAGTTGTCACGTTGTTGAGGATTGGAAGCTTATCAGTATATCTTTTTTTAGGATCACCAATTCTTGCAGCTCCTTTTTGTTGGGTTTTGTGAGTGAGCTTGCAGTTTACAATGAGGTTTGCTTTGTTTCTGAGCATATTTGGAGACAAGAAACGTCCTCTTTTAAAATTGGATAGCTTGTTGCGTACTTTTAAGATGAAATTTTGATATCCTTCATTTACTTTTTTGCGCCTCTGAGCTTTTTCAGAGTCAGTCTCCTGATGAATTGTAGATACAGTAGAGTTGAATTGAATTTGAAATCGAGGACTTGCTGGCCTGATCTTTCTAATAACTTCTGGGCTCAATGCTTTTATTTTATTGTGTATCTAAATGGTTTAAGTTAGGAATTAATAAAAGTGTTATCAAAGTCTCAACAGATTAAACATATAGTTATTAAGCTTAATAAATTTGTACCTCTCGCTTTCTGATAGTTTGGATCATTTGGTTTTGCACTCCTAAAGGAATCTCGTTTCTCCTTCTAGTGTTTGACCTTCTCATTCCCATCTTCTTGATAGCTATAGAGTTGTATAGAGCTCTATAAGACTCGATAGCTAAAGTCATGTTAGTATTTTTCATATATATTGTTATTAGCCTTCCGCATAAATTTTTAAATGGGGTTTTGGGGTTTTGGGGTTTTGGGGTTTTGGGG